TGGGATCTGATCCACCCAGCCATTTATCTCAGGGAAGAAGAGCTCTTTATCAGTCTTTTAAAAATGTGAAACTCATGCTTTGGGGAGCTTTAAAAGGGAGCGTTTGTAATTTAATTGGAGGCACAGGGACAGACTGCACCCTTGGAGGAAGCCCCAGGTATCTTACCCTGCCTCACCTAGAGGTGGGAGTTCCCCAGGGAGAATCTCCTTCCTTCCCTGGGGCACCCTCCTTGTGACACAACTGTTTATGCATATCACGAATGGCCACCTCTTGCTGAGCAGCTAGTGACAGAGCATTCAAAAGGAGACTGCTGGTGCCAGCAGCCAAGGATAGACCTTAGATCATCACTGATAATCAGTCACATTCACTGAGTGCTTTCTGCTTAAGACTCACTTTATTCACCAGTGTCCATCCACGATTTCCTGAATACTCGTGATGACCCTGTCAGGCAGGAATTTTTTATAACTTCCCATTTATTTTATTTTATTTTTTTGGTACCGAGGGGTCAAACACATGACCCTGTGCTTGCAAGGCAGGCGCTTTTGCTGCTGAGCTAAATCCCCAGCCCCCCAGCCATTTATAAATTATGAAACTGAGACCTGCGATGCTAAATCATCTGTTTGAGGCATCACAGTCACTCTGCAGTTATTGTGATAGCAAGCAGGCTGGCTCCAGAGTGGCTATCTTCTTTGGTTAGCAAGAAATATGCATTGCCTGCAACCTGTCTGCTGTTCAACCTGTTAGTGCCATCCCAAGGTTGAGCATTTAAGAACATAAGACAGTAAAGGCCACTCAGAGGTGGCCTGCTAGGAACTTGTTACTGATGTTTGGATTGGAGCAAAGGCAGTTAACTAGGTCTTGGGTCTTGGGGACATAGCACAGGAAAGCCAGTGATTCTTTGCTGAGTCACAGCAAGAATCAACAATCCAGGTTCTGAAGAATTTCTTTGAGCGTCAGAGCCTGAGGGGACCGGGCGGGCAGCTTCAGACATGAGCTGATGCTTTCTTTCTAGGGTTGCCAGAGAAAATATGGGATCCCCATTTAAATCAGAGCTTGAGATAAGCAACAAAATTTTAACATAAATGTTCCAAATATTAAACTGACAAAGTTTTTAAACTGAGAAAGTTTTGTTGCTGTAGCTGTTTATTTGAAATTTAAACACAATTGGGAGTCTGGTATTTTTATTTGCTAAATTTGGCACACAGTTTCTTTGGGGAGACGGCCCATCCCCCAGGCAGTGTGTTAATCAGGGCAGAGTAGGCAGGAGAGACAATGCGGCCTTTGGTTGGAGAAAGGAGAGTTGTGGATTTAAACCCAAGGAGATAACAGATGTTCTGGATAAGAGACCTAGCAGGGGCTTTGTGATGTGAGAGCTCCTGGGTGGGTGGAAAAGATCTGGGACAGTGGAGAGGGAGGAAGTCTCAAGACACATGTGGGGACAGGAACAGAGAGTGAAATGTCTAAAGGAGACTCCTGCTGTAGGACCAGATGTAGAAGGTCAGCCCTGGAAGGTCTTGAATATCCTGGTAGAGATATTTTTGTTTTTGTTTTTGGAGACAGGATCTCACTATGTAGTTCAGGCTGCTTTAAACTCACTATGTAGCCCAGGCTGGCCTCGAACTTGCAGCGATCTGCCTGCTTTGGCCTCCAGAGTGCAGGGATTACCAGCGTGCATCACCATACCCAGCCTATCCCGAAAGAATTTTGGTCAAAGTCCTTTGAATAAGGGCTGGGGAAACAATCAAGGCGGGATTTTAGGAAAGCTAATGTGGTTGGTAGTGTGTAGGACTGGTGGAAATGGTGAGTGAATGAACCGAGGTGAGGAGCTTAAGCCTTAGGGCCTGTGTCAGGGAAAAAGGAAAGGTGACCAGGGGACAATCCAGAGGGATGATCTCATCTTTTAGGCAGAACACACAGGTGCCCATTAAAAGGACAGGAAGCTTACAGGAACTGACCTGTCTTATGGGTGGCTGACCCTGCTGGGATGGGGGAGGCAGAGGCAGCCACGGGCACTGGATCTCAGAGGCCATATGTGCATGTTAAAGGCTCCCACAACAGTCCAAGGAAGGATGGTGGAGGCAGGAAAACTGAGAGCCATGTTTTGTTCTGTTACAACCTGCCCTGCAAAACACACACACACACACACACACACACACACACACACACACACGCACCCTCATCGCTCTGCTTATTAGGTTTGCATAAAAAGTGAATTCCTGGCTGGATGAGGTGGCACATACCTGCAATCCCAGCACTTGGGAGGCTGAGACAGAAGGATCACTGAGAGTTCAAGGCCAGCCTGAGTTACAAAGTGAGTTCAAAGCCAGCTTGCACTTCATGGTGAAATCTTGTCTCAGACACGCGCACACACATACACACACACACACACACACACACACACACACACACACAAGCAAATTCATGTTTGAACTTTAAGTAATATTTAGTAGGGATGCATTTTAGCTTTTGGGTCCCATTTGTGCTTGTAAGGGAGCTGGTCTTTTAAAGCACTCATTTTACTGCCAAGGCTGTAAAATCCCTTGGTGTGTGACCTTCTCTGGGTCCTCCCATAGTGGAGACAGACTCCCACTTCTGGTAAAAGATTTCGAGATGTCCTAAGGGAAAGTCCTTCAGCAGCACATGAGATGCTGCTGTGTGGCCTGCTGGGCCCTTGCTCCAGCCCTAGCACCAGCCAGTCCTGAAAAGCTCACTCAGCTGATCTAGAGCCACTTGGGCAAGACACACAAGGTTGGAAAGGAAACATTGCAGTGCTTTCCTGGGACTGGGAGGGTTGGCTGGGGCCTATGGGGGTGGGGAAGGGGAGGAGTCTTCTCCAGGCAGGATTGAATTGGATACCTTGATTCCATGTCTCCCTGCACTGGGGGTTTGAGGATTGGCTGGACTTACAGCCAATGCATCCTTCCAGGGTGACCTGGAGAGAAAGTGTGTCCTGGTGGGCCAGGGTACTGTGGGAGATAGACACGGAATCCTAATAGCGAATCTGTGCTCATTGAGAGTGAACTCCTTACCCTCTGTTCCAAAGCACCTCCTCCATGGAGTCTGCCATTTCTCAGACACTGTTTCAGGCTCTCCTGATCCTTTGCTGAAGAGAGAGCATTTGTACAGTACCCTGCGCTGAAAGTTTTCAAGTTTTGTGTTCCCAGCAACATGTGAGGCTTTAAACTTGGTTCTTGATACCTCTCTGACTCAGTCTGAGCCTCTTAAACATGTGGAGTCTAGCCTGGACTAAGACTCTCTAGGGTTGCTGGGAAGCAGTGCCGAGAGCTGAGGCTCTGAGCTCCCTCTTAGCTCTCAGAAGCCTTCTTGAGGTGGGCTGCTGTCAAGCAAGCCTCCCCAGCACATGCCCGCTGTGGCCTGAATTCAGACTCCTCCCGAGGCACTGGATTCCTCCCGTGACCCCACACTTCTCCATGACCACTCCTGGCCTAGCGCTGGCCTTTCTTGTGGAGTAGGGCCAGGCAGCTGGGTCAGGTTGCCTTTCCCAGATGCAGTGAGCTGGTTGGTCTGGTTTCTCAGCAACTGTAGGAGGAGAAGTGCCTTGAGGCCTGGGCTGGGCAAGCTAAAGAGTGGGGCCCTGTAGGAGGCAGAAAGGTGGTAGATGGCTGGGGGGGGGGGAACCAAGGGCCCACTTTGGTGCACAAGGCAAGGGTGCTCTATGGAGGAAGGGACTGTCAGTGTCTGTGGACATTTTTGATCATCACAAACAGGAGGAAAGAGTGCTATAGACATCTGGAGTAGAGAGGACAGGGATACTAGCTGGTTGGGAGAGCTCAAGTGGGCATCTATGAGCAGAGCGCATGACTGGATCTCAGGGCACATCTGCTTGCTCTGCACCTTCTGCGGTCTTCCCGCAGAGCCACAGCCCCTGCCCTGACCTTGTCACTCACTACTCACCCCTCTCCCTGCCAGGGACGCTGAGAAACTCTTCTACTTCCTTTTATTTTGTCCCATATCAACTCACAGTTTCAGAGGGACAAAAAGGCAAATGATTTGTTACACTTATTATTATTATTATTATTATTATTATTATTATTATTATTATTATTTTGGTTCTAGGAATTGACCTCAGGCCTTGTGCTTGCCAGGCAGATCCTAAGCTGCTGAGCTATATTCCCAGTCTTTGTTACACTTATTTTTAAAATGCTATTTGTGGGTGTCCTATTATCCTCATGTAACTATAGCATATATTACCACGTATTGATCACTTATTTAATGAATTTGTCTTTTGCAGTTCTAGGGATGGAACCCAGGACGCTGTGCATGTCAGGTAAGTGTTCTATCACTGAGCTACGCCCCAAGCCCTGACCACTTTTTTTCCTACCAGGAAATTTCACATACATGACATGATCTCACTGTTACAAGAGCCTTGCTAGATAGGTACTATTATTAGTCTTTGGAAAAAATAGGTTCAGGCAATTACATAAATTGCTCAAATCAGAGCCAAATCTTTGACCTTTTAATCTGTCTTTAGAAGCCTGTAAAGTTTGCTGTTACATGAAGCCCTAGAGGAGGACACTTAAGTGACACAGGAGCTGTTGGACCTGATTGAACAGGGCCAGTATGGGTTGGGGCAGCCAGGAGAGAAGTTTGGATGTAAAGTACAGAGAAGCTATTGGAGGCCATGGCTGCTTCTGTAAAGGAGTGACTAACACGGTCCTATGTCAGCCTCAGCTAGCCAGCAAACATCTTCTTCCCATCCCAGGCCCCATCTTACCCAAGGTGGCTGCCAGTGGTCCCTAGCCCTAGGCTTGATAGAGCTGCCTGAAGGGAAAGGCCAGGCCTTGCCAGAGCGTGCAGAATGTCTGTGTGTCTGTCCATCACAAGCTCTGTCTGCATTGCTGGCTGCCGCCATGGAGCTTGGAGGCTGCAGGAGGCAGGCGGTAAACAGGAAATGGTTAAGTAGGAGCAGGTGGAGCGTGCGGTGCTGGAACAGGCAGGAAATAGCTGAGCAGCTGAATGGACTCCCAAGAATGCTTTGCCAACTGCCCGAGGCTCCGGCGAAGGCGCCGGCTACCCTCCCCTCCCAGCCCAGCACAGCGAGGTGCCTGGTCCGGCAGTGCCTGGCTGGCCCCACTGTCCCTCTTCCCCTGTTCTGCCTGGGGCTAGAAGGAGGGGGACTTGAGGCAAGAGGAGAATGTTGGTTCCTGCAGGGCTCTGAGTGACCCACCTTGAGGATGCGTGGTAGGAGGGGCTGCAGGAGGTGGGTAAGCTCTCTAAGGCCAGAAGTGCTTTTCTGGTTCTTGGTTCCCCAGAGAGCCTTTTGCATTGTCTAGGACCCCCAAGAGTGGTCTGTCCCCACCTGGGTAGAACATACCTACCAATCTCTACTGGATGTGGGCAGGGGCTGGAAACCCTGAGCTCTCTCCAGCCTCCTACTTAATCCTTGTACAGGTGCCCCTAAGTGGGTGGACCAGCCCCCTCAGGAGAGACAGGAACCTGAAGCTCAGGGAAGCAAAAGGAGCTGAGACTTGAGCTCCTTTGAGCCTCCACGCCCCACCCTGTCCTGCCTCCGCATCGCTATGATGATCGTGTTTAGACTCCTCTTGGCTCGAGGAGCTGCCCTTTGTCCTCGTATAAAACCCATGGTGCTCTTGGTTTTCATTGGTCCCCTTTTCGGGAAAGTGTAGCCTCAGGGTGGACAGCTTTGCTTCCCAGGGCAGAGGCACCCTGCTCTGGTAAGTGGGCTTGCTCTCTGCAGAGCCAAAGTCTGGTGGCTGGCTGTTCCAACCTTGAAGTGTTGCTGACATGCTTCTGTCTGTGAGCTCAGCAACTTTACAGTGGGGGCTGTGGCCTCAGTGGTTGCCTTTAGCTGCTCAGATGGGCTTGACCCTTGCTGGAGAGGGGTTGGCAAGTTGGGGGGAAGGAGTTGTACTCAGAGGTTTTCTCAGAAAAAGTGGACAGCAAAGGTGTCTCAGAAACAAACTAATGATAGTAACGCATTTTGTCAGCTATTTATTTATATAAAGTATGTGTTTCAGTAAGTACATGCATGCATTTATACATATTTTGAAATATTTAATCCCCAATGCAACCCAAAGAAGAGGTACTTCGATTATTTCCACTTTATGGTCAACAATCTGGGGCCCAGAGAAGGGAGATGAGCTGTCCCAGTGGTAGTGTTGGTAGTGGGTTCCTTATTCTTCACTCAAGCCTGTGTAGGTTGGTCCAGAGTCCACATTCTGGCCACTGTACTGTGCTACTTAGGTGAGAAGACTTTTGAGGAGGCCAGAGATGACAGTGTGGGCAAAGTCTGGGCCTATGGCTAGGCATGGTTGAGAACTACAAGAAAGTAGCTATTGCAGGGGGCAGGAGTGACAGGAGAGGAGCTTCAGGGTTTGCATCACAAGGCTATCGCAGGGCCTATGACTTCTGTCCAGAATTTGCTCCACGGCATGAGAGACCACAGGAAAGAGGAGGGCTCTACAGAGAAGAGAGGGCCTTAAAAACAATGCAAAGAGGTAGATCTATACTGCCTGACTTCCAGAATTGCTAGGCAGCTAGAGTGATCAGGAAGGTGGGAATGATGGAAGGATAAATGTTTGTAAAAGTGGAACAAATGGAAGAAAGCAGAAATACGTGAAAGTCAGTTGATTTTTTGCAAGGAGCAAAAGGAGGAGAGAGTAAAGGAAAGATCAGTAGAGGAAAGATTTAAAAAAAAACAAAAAACAGTGCCAGAAAATGTGGACACCTAATCGGAAAAAATGGAGGAAAAAACAAAGCCATTAACTAGCACGAACCTATAGTTCAAAAATGATCAGACCTAATGTAAACTTTAAAGTAGAAAAGAGAAACTCACAAAAGAAAGTGCTAAAGAAAGTCCTAATAGTAAAAAAGAAGGAAATATAGGAGAAAACCTCTGTGACTTGTGTTAGACAAAAATTTCTTTGATATAACACCAAAAGCAAGGTCTATAAAAGAAAAACTTGATAAATTTGATTTCATCAAGATTCCAAACATCTGTTTTTCACAATACTCTGATAAGATAAAAAAAGGCAAGCCACAGACTGGGAAAGGATATTCACAATACTGTATCTGATAGAGGAGTTGTATATAAAAAATTCTTGAAACTGAGTAAGCAGAACACAACCCCATTTGTAAAATGGGCAAGCTATTTGAACATCTCCAAGGAAGATATATGAATAGCAAATAAACAGAGGAGAGGATGTTTAACCTCTAAGTTAAAAAGCATTGAAACTGTGACATACATTTGGAGTGGTTAAAACAAAACTTTGACTATCTCAAGTACCAAGGAAATGGAGCCGGGCGTGGTGGCTCATGCCTGTAATCCCAGCACTCGAGAAGCTGAGGTGGGAGGATCATGGCGAGTTGGAGACCAGCCTGGGCTACAAAGTGAGCGCAAGGCCAGCCTGGACTGCATAGGAGCCCTCATCTAAAAAAAAAAAAAAAAGACAAAAAAAGTACCAAAGAAGATTTGGAGCAACTGGAACTCTCATAGATAGCTTGAAAATGCAAAATGATACATCCACTTCGGGAAATGTTTTGGCAGCTTAGTATAAAATTAAAGATACCCTTACATGATTCAGCAATGCCATTCTTAGATATTTACTGAGGGAAATGAAAAGTTAGGTCTACACAAAAACCTGTTTACAAATGTTTATAATGGCTTTAGTCATAATAGTAAAAAACTAGAATAACCTAAAGAGCCTTTGGTTACTAAATAGTGTTATGTATCCATATAGTGCAACACTGCTTATCAATGAAAACAAACTTCTGATACATACAGTAACATGGATCAATCTCACACACATTAGGCTAAGCAAAAGAAGGCAGGCTTTTGTGGGTAGGTTATACATGACTCCATTGATATGACATTTTGGAAAAATCAAAACTAAAGACAACTCAGTGAGGGGTTTTGAGGAACTGGGATAAGAGTCTGACTCTTAAGGAAGCACTGGAGAATCTGGGGGTGAGGTATCTCTGGTTCTGTTTGTTGTGGTAATGGTTACCTGAATGCGTGCATTTGCTAAAACTCATAGAAATACAGTTTCGATTTTTATTTAACTGTGTGTAAATTCTATTTCAACAAACTTGATCTTAAAAAAGTCCCACAATGCAAATAGCTTGCAGGGCATGAGTAGTACCAGGAGACCCACCTTGGGACCGATTGCTAGACGACACCTTCCCTGTCCAGACCCTGTTTCCCATCCCTGCGGCCTCAGCAAGCTCATGCAGAAACCTCACTCCCTGTGGCTCCCTGGCCACAAAGAGAACATGAATGAGCTCCTTCTTTGGGGCACTGAGGCCCTTGTCTTTGTGAGCTGCTAGTGCCTTGAGAGGACACTACTTAAGCTGAGGGAGGCCCCGCAGAATGAGAGCAGTCGAGCGGGAAGGGAGCTGTCTTCACAGAGGCTGGAGCAGGGTTGGGTAGGAGCAGCCTGCAGTTTGGTTTCTGGCACTGGGCTCTTGCTGGGCACCATGGCATGTTAAGGACGGGCTCAGGAGCTCCATGCAAGGCACCCTTGTTACTTACCCCCCATGTTGGCTTTTGGCTTAGATCTCAAAATCCTGCCTCCACCGTGGAAGCCATAGCCCTCACATGGGCTTCCTTCCCGGTAACTTCCTCCTCTATCTCCTAATTGTCCAATTCCAAGAACAAATTGCCCTGACAGGTTTGGGGGATTGTTTTTTGTTGCAACTAATCCCTAAATTCTCTCGGCATATTTCTATTTCCCAGTGTCTTTTGGGCTCAGGAGTTCATCAGTGAAAGGTGGACAGTACTCCTTCTGAGTAGGCATCATGGACTCAGCTTCAGCAAGACTAAAGTCATCTGCATGGCAAGACCATGGAGTAGGAGAATTACCTGGGGCATCTGATTGGACCCTCTAAAAACTGTATTTCATGTACAGAATTTTTTTTCAAAATGTTCATATATCTTCTCACCACAGGGCCTTTGGACATGCCGTTCCCTGTCTCTGGGATGCCCCTCACCTTTTGAAATTGTTTGGCTCCCATTTACTGTGCATTACTGTAGACACAAAAATAAATAAGACAAAGGTCTTTATGTTAAAGAAGACTGGCCCTGGGAGAATGGTAGTAATAATTATAGTAATAATATAGTGATAATAATGACAGTGACAATAACCATGGCAGGATCATTGAAGGAGCACTTACTATGTGCCAAGCATTTATGGCACCATGACATTCAACATTCACAACAGCCCTCCAGTTGGCATTTTATTATTCTCATTTTATGAACGAGAAGACAGGCTCTGAAAGGTCAGGTCACTTGCTAACCTGGTAGATGGCAGGGTCGAACAAAAGTTCAAAGCTCTCGGACTCCAAAGCCATGTTTATGTCTACAGTATTGTCCTCTTCTCCCCTGTGTGAAGGAGAGTTTCTATCTAACTCAGCTTGGATGGGCCCCCAGTTTGGGCTGCCAGGGGACATAGGATACAGGCTACAGCGACTGGGTAGGGACACAGCTCATGCTGTTCCCGGCCCGCACCTTTCACCCAGGACTCTTCCCATCCGCTGTCTTCACGGGTGAGGGTGAGGGTATTTCCCAAGGAGCGAGGCATATAGCAGTCTGCTGGGGGTGGCAAGAAGCTTCAGGAAGGTGCTCTGAGGCGTGAACTTCCTGACTTGGCACTCTTGTGCTGCATTCTTTGGCTAGAGGTAGGCATGCTCTTGACGTTGCCCCACAACAGACCAATAAGTCACCCTCAGGCTCCCGGCTTCCTGGTTGGGCTCTGCTGTCTAGTAAGTCGAAGACAGTAATTCATGAGTAATCCGGGCGTGATGTTAGGTAACAGCAACAGTTGACGGGCTGGGGGCTGACTCATTCTCAAAGCCGTGAATCAGACCCATGGTATTTCCTTTGGTCAGAGGAGGCCAGATGCCCCCAAACACCTGCCTCTGTGGTCTCTGGTCACCAGAACATGGGACCTGAGTCTTGATGATGGGACCTGAGGCTGGTGAGGGAAAATCTCAGTCCAGGAGATGGTGTCACGGGAGCTGTGACTTCATGGAGGGCTGGTAGGACACAGGAGAAAGAGCAGGTCGGTCCAGGGGAGAGGGTGTGGCTGTTGTGTCCACTGAAAGAAGTAGAAATGTGTGGTGTTAAGGCCCAGAAAGCACAGAGAGAAAAGATGTAAAATAGGACCCTTGAGCAAGGTTACATTTCTCCCAACCCTCCTTCTCCAGAGTTGAATAGAGGAGAAGTAAAATCAGGAAATGAGTCTCTGGCTGTAGAGAGCCTTTGGAAAGGCCCATGCTCCCTATCCTCAGTACTGCTGCCTTGAAAGGGCCCCAGAAGACGGGTATTGTGGTGCAGGTGATCTCAGTATTCTGGGAGGCTGAGCCAGAAAGATCATAAATTCAAGATCATCCCGGGGCAAATTAGCAACTTTGTGAGACCCTGATTCATGTTAAAAAAAAAAAAAAAAAAAAGAGCTTGGGATGTAGCTCACTGGGAGGGTCATGGGTTCACCCCTGGGAATGGTGGGGGCGGTACAGGGAGGATTTGACCAAGTTGACCGTCCTGCCAGTCAGGCGGTCAGCAGGCTCTTTCTGTGGCCTCAGGCCTCTCAGGACTCCCCCAGAAAAGCAGCCAGCATGACTCCCCAGTAAACTCTTTAAGGGCACATGGTCACTTCTCTTTCCCTCTCTCTCCAAGATCTCAGAGCATCCTCAGCTTGGGGGCTTGAAACAGGGTGTGGAGGACTCCTTGAAGGTGACTGCAGATAGCAGGAGCCAGAAGATGCTCACAAAGACAAATGGGGAGGCTGAGACCCAGGAGGGAGCTCTAACAAACTGTAGGCCCGAGTGGGAGGTGTCACGGTGTACACTGTCAGTCACCGTCAGTCCACGGTGTACACCATGGTAGCTCCCACGGTGTACACTGGCAGTCCCCAGCCTCTCCCTGGGTCCCTCATCTCTCTCCAGGGAGTGAGAAGCTGCTGCTCTCTGGCTGGCCCCAGGGTTGTAGTGACAGTGATTGCTGCAGGAAGGACTTCTGGAGAAAAGCTAGTCCTGCTGGGGGAGGGGGGTAAACAGAGGCAGGGTGTGAGCATGTGTAGCAAAGAGCCTAGGGGTGCTGATAATAGGAGGCGCTGCGGTGGAGCACAGCTCTGGAGGGCTTCCTGCGCTCTTCCTCCTGCCTGGGGGGCTTCCTGCGTCACCTTTGCCAACCTTCTTCAGGCCAGTTCTTTGCTGCTTTTGTTTTCTTTTAGTTGTCAAATGATCCTTCATTTGTAGTTTGTAAGTAGCTGGACATCCCACCACACCACGGTCAGTGCCATCTATGAAGTTGTAAGGGTGATGCCATCAGCATCAAAACCCACAGGAGGGACAGAACCTGGGGCCCCTAATGGTTCCAGAGAGCTCCCTGGCTAAAGATAGCGGTTAGGCAATGTTGACAGTCTCACCCAAAGGGATGTTTTGCTTTTGCTTAATGTCTTTCTGCTTGTCTCTGTTCCAGAGCAGCTTCTTGAGGGCTTTGGAGATCACCACACAGGCCAGTGCCACCTCCCTGAAGCTGTCTGTTCTGAATGACCAGTTTCACTGTAATCCTCGGACCCTTTTGGCCACTGCATGGCTTGATGATGTCATTATTACCAACCTCTTTTGGTGACAGACCCAGGCCTATCTTGGGGTGGAGGGCAGGTGTGGTGGTGTGGTGCCAACTTCCACACTGATGTGTCTCAAGAATATAGCTTTAATCTTGTGAGGGTTGGGCTGGGGATTTAGCTCAGTGGTGTAAGTGCCTGCCTGACGAGCATGAGGTTGTAAGTTCGATCCCAGGTACAAAAAAAGAAAAAAAAAATCTTGTTAGGGTTAAATTTGGGTGGCAGGGGTGATGGATTCCTTGCCCTGACATTCACCATCTTGCCCCTCTGCCCTTTGAGGCTCCTCTCTCAACACCTATGTCCACAGTCCTCGCTATTGGACATACTGATCTGCCTAACATGACTGCCTCTGAGCTTTTGCATCTGCTGTATCCTCTCTCTGCTGAGCTCCACACATCTTCAAGCTGAGACGCTCCTTTGGAGTCTTGCCTGGGTCCTCATGGAGAGAGCTGAGCCATGATTATGCATATTGCCAGGCTCTTTGTGGAGGGGGAGGGGAACTGTAATGAACTGCAGGGCCTGTATCTAAGGCCCTGATACATGGTCAGGGTTCAGTCCATGTCCTGAGTGCCTGAATGTAAGAATGAGTAAATGAATGAATGCCCTGGTGGGAAGGTGAGAGAAGGAAACAGATGTGTCCCTTAAGGGGAAACTGCCTTGTCATGCCTCTCACAACCTTATTCGGGCTGCCCTCTCCAGAGGTCAATATTTTCGGGGCACCGCAGTGATGGGCCAAAGATGCTGGGCATCTGCCCACCTCCTCCAAGCATTGCTCTTCGACAGCTTGCTTATGGTTCCCCAGTCAGCCCAAAGCAGGACTTGTGTGTAGGCAGGGACTTAATGCCCCAGAAGCCCCGGAATGCTGCCCCAGCGTTAAACCAGGGGAAGACCTGCCCATTCTGCAGTGAGATGAAAAGTTATCACTGCACCTCTGAGGAATGAGAGGTAAAATAGTGACAGTTGAGTTGAGGTTGGCCAGGATGGTGTGGGGAGGTGGTTGTGGAGAGGGATACCCGTGCTGAGGTAGTTGGAGAGGTGGGGGGCGAGGGTTCTCTGTGAGGAGGGGAGAGAGTGGCAGGGTGTGGGTTACTCTAGCCAGGCCCAGGGCAGCTGAATGCGAGATGGCTGCAAGAAAGAAGTGGACCAGGAGGCAGGGAGCCCAGAGTTGGGCTGGACGGGACAGCTGGGCAGCTGGAAGTGCTAACACTGGTCCCAGCTGGCTCGGGGCATGGTTAGGGCTCCAGGAGAGGCCAGGGAAGCAGGAAGGGAATCTAGGCACAGAGGCTGGAGGAAAGGTGGGAAGCCTCCTCGGGACCAGCCCCCAGCCTTTCCTTCCTCCTCACAGCAAGAACCCGGAGCTGGAGCCCGAGCTGCTGTGACAGGGGGCGGCTGCTGAAGTGCTGCCTGTTCCCACCTTCCCCATGGGCAGTTTATATACTAACGGCCACCGCACCCCAGGAGGGGGTGAATGGGGATCCATTTGTTTTTCCAGAGTTTGACCTCTGGATAAAACTCTTACCCCAAAATGTGCTGGCTTAAGTGAAAGCGATAAATCAGCCCCTTTGAAATGCAGACGCAGCTTGGGGGAAGCCCCCTTTGATATGCAGCTTGGAACCCGGGCACTTAAAACCTGGGTTAATTCTCTGGCTTTATTGGAGGCCGGGAAAGAGAAGAGGAAACCCAGGGCCGGTCATTAAGTCTAGGGACTTGAAAAGCCCGGGGCAGGAGCCGGCAGCCGCAAAGGATTCAGGAAGGCATAGCGGCCCTGGGAAAAGCGTCCTCGGCCTGATGAACTCTAATCCCACTTCCCACCCAGACAGATGAGACGTGGGGGGCGGTGGGGAGAGGGGGCGGCGCCAAGAGGCTCGTGAGGATGCGGAGGCGGTTGCTATGGGAATGGGCGGAGGTAGGAGAAAGCCAAGGGCCAACTTGGCAATTTCCTGAAAGGAGCTGGGGAAGCAAGTGAGCGGGGGTCCCTTTCAGAGGGCTGGGGGCTGCGGCCCCTGCATGGGAGCTGGGGCTGCATGGCACGCCTGTTACCTCGGCCGGGCTGGTCGGGCCTTCATTGGAAACATCTGGGGCTCCCGACCTCCATCACAGGGTGGGGCGGAGCCATAAAGCTCCGTGCGATTTTCAGACCAGGGTGGGCCCTGAGGCTGCCCGGCTTTTCTCTATGTCACTTCCAGAAAAGGGGAGAGGCTGAGTGTAGGGACACAGGGTCCCCAAGGCCACTTAGTCTAGGTTTGGGGATGAGGCATCCTCTGGGTGGTTCCCACTGTTATCCTGACAAGCAACAAATCCAAGTCTGGACGTTACAGACAGGATGCTTCAATTCAAAGTCTGGGAAAAGAAGCCGCAGAAACTTTATAAGAAGATGCTTTAAAGTTTTTATTTAAGTTATTTTTGTGGGATTGGGGACTGAATCCAGGGCCTTCACACAGTTA